TGTAACCAAGATTATAATTCCAAAACCACTCATACAACAACTCTTACAAACAGTACACACACAATACAATCACCCCGGTATTTCACAAATGTCACGACTCATCTCCACGCAAAATTACTGGCAAGGTATGTCAAAAGATATTAAACAAAAGGTTAAGACCTGTCCCACCTGCCAGTTAACAAAACGGCCATTGGGACCCACTTACGGGGAATTAAGTCAGCCTCCGGAAGCCAAAGAACCCTATGACCTATTATCCCTTGACACCATAGCAGGATTTGCCAAATATGGCAACACCAAAATATACCTCCATGTGGTAGTCGATCATTTTTCGCGCTACGCGTGGACTTTTCCATCTAAATCCACCAGCATCACCACCTACCAACAGGTACTTAAGCGAGTATTACAGGATGGCTCTCCAAAACGCCTTCTTACGGATAGAGCCCCTGCTTTCACTTCGCCCAAATTTAGTAGTTTCCTCCTTAATAGAAAGTATTTCCTGGGCAAGGCCGGATATGTCTTCCGACAAAGAAATCAGCAAGGACCAATTAGAGGATAACACCTAAGTAGGTCAGCCAATGGAAAACGGCCACGTGACATCTTCCTACCAATTAGGAAACAACACTTAAGTAGGTCAGCCAATAGAAAAACGGCCACGTGACATCTTCCTACCAATGGGAAAGAAGAAAGGCCTTGGTGTTAAATCGAGAACCTAGGATAGTCAGTAGTGCTTTCGCTCCCACCGAGACAGCATCTAGAATAGTTGCTCCTTCGCTCCAAACGAGGTAACATCTGCTCTCGAGACCTCCCCGCTCATCTCATAGCTAAATCAATCACCGCCATGTGATCAGATAATTAATAAGTCAAAACCCGCTCCGCCTTCTCTCTAAGCTTTTCTTTTCCTCCAAACCAGTTGCCTTTTATTTTCAAAACCCCATCACGTGTCCTGATTATTCCTCACTGTATGCTTCACTTTCCACTCAAACGACTGCGTTTCAACCAATCCTCACCATTCTCATCGAACAACAAGAAATTCCGTAACGATATTTTGACAAATATATATCCATTATTTTTCTATAAACAAATTTGATATTGGTTTAATTTGAATGGGCATTGTATATCATATATTTTAAACTGCTTCTTCATCTAAACATATACGCTGTTAAATTTATATTTTTCATTTGTAGGTTTGATTAAAAAGAGAGTCTGAAAGAAAGGCTTTGATTTTTTGTTTAATAAATAGGGATTACTTGGCTTCATTCGCCTTCTGCTCCACGAGTGAATATTTTATCCCCAAAAATTCGATTCTCACAATCAAACATGACATTGAAATATTGCCATTAACATTTTCAGACTGAAAATAAGTCTTTTCACCTAGTAAATGGTTAGTTTCGATGTATCGTTGTAAAATGGAACATAAATCTCTTACAGGCTTACCTCTATGTTCTGTTAGAGTTTCAGCCAGATTATTTATGTATTCAGGAGGTGCAAAGCCGATAAACATATAAATAGAGAAAAGAGTTAATCAACTTAAGAATATCATAATCAAATATATATGCTCAATAAAACCATTATTTGTTGAATCATCATTTTAGGGCAAACATACACTCTAGTAGAACATTGGCAAAGCATGGTCTAAATATATTTTTGCGAATAATATTTGACTTAAAACCGCATTTTATTTAATAAACTAGCGGATGTACCCGGCTTTGCCCGGGTTTTACCCGAGTAAAGGCTTGTCTAACGAACATTTGTTAAAACAATTTTCTATAAACTTATAAAAAAAATAATAGATATATTTTGATAATTTGAAACTCGTAAATTTGAATCTCTCGATAAAGTGATCATTTTTCCCCGGTCCCTGTGTGCCGTGTCATTCTGAATTTTGGCTTTCCTAATTTTCTACATTACAAAATCAGCGTTTTATCTAGTGAACATTTTTTCCCGGTCCCTTGAAAAATACTCGAAAATAATAGATATATTTTGATAATTTGAAACTCGTAAATTTGAATATCTCAATAAAGTGATCATTTTTCCCCGGTCCCTGTGTGCCGTGTCATTCTGAATTTTGGCTTTTCTAATTTTCTACATTACAAAATCAGCGTTTTATCTAGTGAACATTTTTCCCGGTCCCTTGAAAAATACTCGATAAGTTGAATAAAATCAATATTAATCGGTACCCGAGTAAAGGTTTGTCTAACGAACATTTGTTAAAATAATTCTCTATAAACTTATTTAAAAAATAATAGATATATTTTGATAATTTGAAACTCGTAAATTTGAATCTCTCGATAAAGTGATAATTTTTTCCCGGTCCCTGTGTGCCGTGTCATCCTGAATTTTGTCTTTCCTAATTTTCTACATTAAAAAATCAGCGTTTTATCTAGTGAACATTTTTTCCCGGTCCCTTGAAAAATACTCGATAAGTTGAATAAAATCATGGTCGTTTATGGAAGATGGACGAAGTTCCCGGAGGTCATCTTGGGCAAGCCCCCGCGAGGCTTTTTTTCTTGTCTACTTGGCACAGCTGTGTCACCAACTCTGCCCCCGCGCGTCAGGACATCTTGACCCCTCTGATTGGTCGGTGGGTACTTGGACTGTCCATCCGGCCGGCGGCCGGACGATTAAATTCTCTCGACAGGGGGTGGGGCTGACCTAAGCCTATCTCCGTCGCAAGGTGACGCTGCTTGCGAGTTAAAGCTACAAATCTGCAAATAACTCTAAGGATATTCAAGATATTCAAGAAATTATTTTTCGTAAACCTTTCCGGGGATATACCTAATAATATACCAAAATTTCACGGCGATTGGATGTATGGTTTTTGAATCTATAGAGTACACACACACAGACAGACATTCATTTTTATATATATATACTAGCTGAAAGACCCGGGCAACGCTCGGGTTTTACCCAATTAAATGTTTTCATTTAAATACTATTCGTTACAATTATAAATTGGCGGCGTGGATGTCACTCTTGTGAAACGTCCCGCTCCAAACTTTGTGTCTGAGAGGCGATATTTTTATAGAAAGATGATCTGGCTTTTGTTTTCTGCTCGAATGAATGTTTTTCTGTTAGAATTTTGTTTCTGCGTACAAAATAATGAGCTGGTTCCACCCGTGGTCTCTGCTTTTTGGAATTTTTCCCGATATAATTTTGTATCTGATAATCTTACATGATACAGCAATATCGTCATCATCATTTTCTGACTAATAATATATAGTTTTAATAATTGATTTATATATATTTTTAAATAGCCTATCGTCTTCCCTGTATTTTTTTACCTATGTATGGAAATTTTGGTTTGAATTAGTGAACTACTGCGAATTTGTATACCGGACATACAAACCAACAAACAAACAAACAAACATACAAACATTCATTTTTATATATATAGAAGATATAATATAAATGAGTTTTAAAAATTGTTTTAAAAAAATACATCGGCCGGGAATCGAACCCTGGCCGCCCGCGTGGCAGGCGAGCATTCTACCACTGAACCACCGATGCTTTAAAAAAATGGCCATATTTAGGTATTCATTCCATTCCGGATTAGTCCGCGTAAAAAAAAGTTCTTCAAATGAAAAAAAGAAATAGCCAAAAATACTAATCAAAATGCAGCCGGAAATTTTCCTCAGGTTTATAAAAAGCGACATGCAAAATTTGGTACAAATTGGTTCAGTAGTTTTTGAGTTTATCGCGAAACAGACAGACAGACAGAAATTGACTTTTATTTATAGAGAGACTGGCGTATGTACCCGGCTTCGCCCGGGCTTTACCCGAGTAAAGGTTTGTATAACGAACATTTGTTAAAACAATTCTCTATAAACATATTTTAAAAAAAATAGATATATTTTGATAATTTGAAACTCGTAAATTTGAATCTCTCGATAAAGTGAGCATTTTTTCCCGGTCCCTGTGTGCCGTGTCATCCTGTATTTTGTATTTCCAAATCTTCTACGTTACAAAATCATCGTTTTATCTAGTGAATATTTTTTCACGGCCCCTTGAAAAATACTCGATAAGTTGAATAAAATCATGGTCGTTTATGGAAGATGGACGTAGTTCCCGGAGGTCACCCGCGATGCTTTTTTCTTGTCTACTTGGCACAGCTGTGTCACCAACTCTGCTCCCGCGCGCCAGGACCTCTTGATCCGTCTGATTGGTCGGTGGGAACTTGGACTGTCTAACCGGCCGGCGGCCGGGGGGGGGGCAGACCTGAGCCTATCTCCGTCGCAAGGTGGCGCTGCTTGCGAGTTAAAGCTACAAATCTGCAAATAACTCTAAGGATATTCAAGATATTCAAGAAATTATTTTTCGAAAACCTTTCCGGGGATATACCTAATAATATACCAAAATTTCACGGCGATTGGATGTATGGTTTTTGAATCTATAGAGTACACACACACAGACAGACATTCATTTTTATATATATATACTAGCCGAATGACCCGGGCAACGCTCGGGTTTTAACCCAATTAAATGTTTTCATTTAAATACTATTCGTTACAATTATAAATTGGCGGCGTGGATGTCACTTTTGTGAAACGTCCCGCTCCAAACTTTGTGTCTGAGAGGCGATATTTTTATAGAAAGATGATCTGGCTTTTGTTTTCTGCTCGAATGAATGTTTTTCTGTTAGAATTTTGTTCCTGCGTACAAAATAATGAGCTGGTTCCACCCGTGGTCTCTGCTTTTTGGAATTTTTCCCGATATAATTTTGTATCTGATAATCTTACATGATACAGCAATATCGTCATCATCATTTTCTGACTAATAATATATAGTTTTAATAATTGATTTATATATATTTTTAAATAGCCTATCGTCTACCCCGTATTTGTTTACCTATGTATGGAAATTTTGGTTTGAATTAGTGAACTACTGCGAATTTGTATACCGGACATACAAACCAACAAACAAACAAACAAACATACAAACATTCATTTTTATATATATAGAAGATATAATATAAATGAGTTTTAAAAATTGTTTTAAAAAAATACATCGGCCGTGAATCGAACCCTGGCCGCCCGCGTGGCAGGCGAGCATTCTACCACTGAACCACCGATGCTTTAAAAAAATGGCCATATTTAGGTATTCATTCCATTCCGGATTAGTCCGCGTAAAAAAAAGTTCTTCAAATGAAAAAAAGAAATAGCCAAAAATACTAATCAAAATGCAGCCGGAAATTTTCCTCAGGTTTATAAAAAGCGACATGCAAAATTTGGTACAAATTGGTTCAGTAGTTTTTGAGTTTATCGCGAAACAGACAGACAGACAGAAATTGAATTTTATTTATAGAGAGACTGGCGTATGTACCCGGCTTCGCCCAGGCTTTACCCGAGTAAAGGTTTGTATAACGAACATTTGTTAAAACAATTCTCTATAAACATATTTTTTTAAAAAATAGATATATTTTGATAATTTGAAACTCGTAAATTTGAATCTCTCGATAAAGTGAGCATTTTTTCCCGGTCCCTGTGTGCCGTGTCATCCTGTATTTTGTATTTCCAAATTTTCTACGTTACAAAATCATCGTTTTATCTAGTGAATATTTTTTCACGGCCCCTTGAAAAATACTCGATAAGTTGAATAAAATCATGGTCGTTTATGTAAGATGGACGTAGTTCCCGGAGGTCACCCGCGAGGCTTTTTTCTTGTCTACTTGGCACAGCTGTGTCACCAACTCTGCTCCCGCGCGCCAGGACCTCTTGATCCGTCTGATTGGTCGGTGGGAACTTGGACTGTCTAACCGGCCGGCGGCCGGGGGGGGCGGGGCAGACCTGAGCCTATCTCCGTCGCAAGGTGGCGCTGCTTGCGAGTTAAAGCTACAAATCTGCAAATAACTCTAAGGATATTCAAGATATTCAAGAAATTATTTTTCGAAAACCTTTCCGGGGATATACCTAATAATATACCAAAATTTCACGGCGATTGGATGTATGGTTTTTGAATCTATAGAGTACACACACACAGACAGACATTCATTTTTATATATATATACTAGCCGAAATGACCCGGGCAACGCTCGGGTTTTACCCAATTAAATGTTTTCATTTAAATACTATTCGTTACAATTATAAATTGGCGGCGTGGATGTCACTCTTGTGAAACGTCCCGCTCCAAACTTTGTGTCTGAGAGGCGATATTTTTATAGAAAGATGATCTGGCTTTTGTTTTCTGCTCGAATGAATGTTTTTCTGTTAGAATTTTGTTCCTGCGTACAAAATAATGAGCTGGTTCCACCCGTGGTCTCTGCTTTTTGGAATTTTTCCCGATATAATTTTGTATCTGATAATCTTACATGATACAGCAATATCGTCATCATCATTTTCTGACTAATAATATATAGTTTTAATAATTGATTTATATATATTTTTAAATAGCCTATCGTCTTCCCCGTATTTTTTTACCTATGTATGGAAATTTTGGTTTGAATTAGTGAACTACTGCGAATTTGTATACCGGACATACAAACCAACAAACAAACAAACATACATACAAACATTCATTTTTATATATATAGAAGATATAATATAAATGAGTTTTAAAAATTGTTTTAAAAAAATACATCGGCCGTGAATCGAACCCTGGCCGCCCGCGTGGCAGGCGAGCATTCTACCACTGAACCACCGATGCTTTAAAAAAATGGCCATATTTAGGTATTCATTCCATTCCGGATTAGTCCGCGTAAAAAAAAGTTCTTCAAATGAAAAAAAAAAAAATAGCCAAAAATACTAATCAAAATGCAGCCGAAAAATTTCCTTAGGTTTATAAAAAGCGACATGCAAAATTTGGTACAAATTGGTTCAGTAGTTTTTGAGTTTATCGTGAAACAGACAGACAGACAGAAATTGACTTTTATATATAGAGAGACTAGCGGATGTACCCGGCTTCGCCCGGGCTTTACCCGAGCAAAGGTTTGTATAACGAACATTTGTTAAAACAATTCTCTATAAACATATTTTTAAAAAAAAATAGATATATTTTGATAATTTGAAACTCGTAAATTTGAATCTCTCGATAAAGTGAGCATTTTTTTCCCGGTCCCTGTGTGCCGTGTCATCCTGTATTTTGTATTTCCAAATTTTCTACGTTACAAAATCATCGTTTTATCTAGTGAATATTTTTTCACGGCCCCTTGAAAAATACTCGATAAGTTGAATAAAATCATGGTCGTTTATGGAAGATGGACGTAGTTCCCGGAGGTCACCCGCGAGGCTTTTTTCTTGTCTACTTGGCACAGCTGTGTCACCAACTCTGCTCCCGCGCGCCAGGACCTCTTGATCCCTCTGATTGGTCGGTGGGAACTTGGACTGTCTAACCGGCCGGCGGCCGGGGGGGGGGGGGCAGACCTGAGCCTATCTCCGTCGCAAGGTGGCGCTGCTTGCGAGTTAAAGCTACAAATCTGCAAATAACTCTAAGGATATTCAAGATATTCAAGAAATTATTTTTCGAAAACCTTTCCGGGGATATACCTAATAATATACCAAAATTTCACGGCGATTGGATGTATGGTTTTTGAATCTATAGAATACACACACACAGACAGACATTTATTTTTATATATATATACTAGCCGAATGACCCGGGCAACGCTCGGGTTTTACCCAATTAAATGTTTTCATTTAAATACTATTCGTTACAATTATAAATTGGCGGCGTGGATGTCACTCTTGTGAAACGTCCCGCTCCAAACTTTGTGTCTGAGAGGCGATATTTTTATAGAAAGATGATCTGGCTTTTGTTTTCTGCTCGAATTATTGTTTTTCTGTTAGAATTTTGTTCCTGCGTACAAAATAATGAGCTGGTTCCAACCGTGGTCTCTGATTTTTGGAATTTTTCCCGATATAATTTTGTATCTGATAATCTTACATGATACAGCAATATCGTCATCATCATTTTCTGACTAATAATATATAGTTTTAATAATGGATTTATATATATTTTTAAATAGCCTATCGTCTTCCCCGTATTTTTTTTTACCTATGTATGGAAATTTTGGTTTAAATTAGTGAACTACTGCGAATTTGTATACCGGCATACAAACCAACAAACAAACAAACAAACATACAAACATTCATTTTTATATATATAGAAGATATAATATAAATGAGTTTTAAAAATTGTTTTAAAAAATGCATCGGCCGGGAATCGAACCCTGGCCGCCCGCGTGGCAGGCGAGCATTCTACCACTGAACCACCGATGCTTTAAAAAAATGGCCATATTTAGGTATTCATTCCATTCCGGATTAGTCCGCGTAAAAAAAAGTTCTTCAAATGAAAAAAAGAAATAGCCAAAAATACTAATCAAAATGCAGCCGAAAATTTTCCTCAGGTTTATAAAAAGCGACATGCAAAATTTGGTACAAATTGGTTCAGTAGTTTTTGAGTTTATCGCGAAACAGACAGACAGACAGAAATTGACTTTTATATATAGAGAGACTAGCGGATGTACCCGGCTTCGCCAGGGTTTTACCCGAGCAAAGGTTTGTATAACGAACATTTGTTAAAACAATTCTCTATAAACATATTTTAAAAAAAAAATAGATATATTTTGATAATTTGAAACTCGTAAATTTGAATCTCTCGATAAAGTGAGCATTTTTTCCCGGTCCCTGTGTGCCGTGTCATCCTGTATTTTGTATTTCCAAATTTTCTACATTACAAAATCATCGTTTTATCTAGTGAACATTTTTTCCTGGTCCCTTGAAAAATACTCGATAAGTTGAATAAAATCATGGTCGTTTATGGAAGATGGACGTAGTTCCCGGAGGTCACCCGCGAGGCTTTTTTCTTGTCTACTTGGCACAGCTGTGTCACCAACTCTGCTCCCGCGCGCCAGGACCTCTTGATCCCTCTGATTGGTCGGTGGGAACTTGGACTGTCCAACCGGCCGGCGGCCGGGGGGGGGGCAGACCTAAGCCTATCTCCGCCGCAAGGTGGCGCTGCTTGCGAGTTAAAGCTACAAATCTGCAAATAACTCTAAGGATATTAAAGATATTCAGGTAATTATTTTTCGAAAACCTTTTCCGGGGATATGCCTAATAATATCCCAAAATTTCACGGCGATTGGATGTACGGTTTTTGAATCTATAGAGTACACACACACACACATACAGACATTCATTTATATATATATATATATATATATATAGATAGATATACATTGAAGTTCAAATTAACTCGGTTAAAAACCTGTAAGTTGGCCTTTTATTCGATATTTTATACCTATTTTAATCAAATGGGTCATGGTTCTATTATTTTATAAGTGACCATTCAGAAAAATTACATTGTCATGGAGAGTAAGCATGTTGAAAAATTTTGAAGGTTATTTTACTAGACATGCTTTTATATTACTTAATTGATTAAATAATATATAAAATATAGTACTTGGTTTATTTTTGTTTTTCTTTGTTGGAAATGTGACAAAAACCTCTTCCTAACTCTATATACTGTAAAATATCAGCCAGAATAGTTACATATTGAAGATGTGCATAGCCGAAAAACAAATATATCTACATCCATTGACCTTTAAAAATAGATATATATACACTCATAAATACTTAAAATATATATATATATATTATAAATTAAAAATAAGGCTTATTTTGGATTTAAATATGATTATTTATTTACCGATATTTCGATGGATCAATCTTCCATCTTTTACGAGGTGTTTTGCAGTGAAGCACGCAGCAGGTCGCGCGCCCCAGGTGAGCCACTAGACGTCTTCTAAGCTTATTGGGCGATGAACCATCTAATATATACAATCTAAACAGAGTAAATATAATCAAAATAAAAGTGATATATGTAAATGACTATTGAAATTAAGAGATATCAAATTAATTAAAGAAAAAGTGATATATGTAAATGACTAAGTGATATATGTAAATGACTAATGAAAATTAAGTGATATCGAATTAATTAAACAAATAAAATATCATGAAAATTGAAATAACTGTGTAACAAATATACAAATAGTAGTAATAGATATCCGATTAAAAATGGAATAAAATAACCATGTAAATAGCATAATCATCTAAGAGGTTCTAAACTGGGTATATATAT